CTCACCTTAACTTAAAAATTTTTTGTGATTGATATCTTGTCATAAGGTATCATTTGGCACACAATTCAGTTCCAATATCGCGGGACCAAAAATAGGCGATTTTTGGGGTCACTCTTTCGAGGCTTTATGTTTTTCAACCTCTTTTTTTAATAATAAAATATTTCTGAATGCAAGTAAAAAATTTTACATAGATTTTAAATATTATTTTATTTTATGCATCGGGATATCGGAGCGTTTTTTTCTCCTATATTATTTCGCGCTGGCACCCATGAATGTTATCGGAATTTTTCGTTGTTTCAATTTAAAATTTCAACTAGCGCGAATTGGGGACTCATTGTTACTAGTTTATCGAGCAGCAGCGAAAAAATTGCAGCGTTGTTGTTACATGACTGTCGTTCACTGTAACGTTTACACTCGAGCTTTCGAGGGCGCCGAACTTGATTGCAAACAAACACGGTCGTCTCTACGTAGCTATACATATAGGTAGTGCGAGTTGGAAATTCGCAACGGAATGTCGTTAAAGGTATATCTCTCGCGTTCAGCGCGTATCGGAAATCCTAGCTGAGTAATCGCATGAGTTCGCCAAGTTAGTGCCGACGAAATATACGTTTTGCATGACGAAGTCTCTTTTGGCGGATAATAGCAATTTGATTCATCGATCGGGTTATTCATAGCCGCCCTTGTTCGTGAAACTTTTTTGGCTGATCTTGCATTAATTGGATCATCAATAATTGGATCATAATCGGTATGAGAATATTTATTTAAGAAAAGAAATTTGAATATGCTTAGAAAATCTGTCGAAAATTAATGCGCATGTTAATTTATGTTTGTATTTTGTTAAAATCTTTGTAATATTTTAAAGTTGAACTTATCTTTCTATATTCATATAAGACTTTATTCAAAAAATACATTATTTATATTTCAATATTTTATTGTAGTAAGTATTCTTGATTCTACTTGTATTTGATTTCAAACAGCGATCTTTGATTATTTTTTAAGATTAGAATGTAAAAATAAGATGTAAGTACTTAGTAACAAATATTACTAAAATATTAATTAGAAGCGAATCATTTACTGTTGATTAATAGGCAATATTATATTGACTTATTTTTTGTGCACTCACTTATTGTGTGAAATTATTGTCAAATTATTTTAGAGCAGATATTTATTCCTGTAGTACTTCTGACATGGATTAACGACACAATCAAAAGCTTTACCGGCAATTGCTTTAAATTATTACATCGTACATTCAATAATCTCGAAGATGAAATTGTTGGACAAAGATTTTAAGATAGAAATACGATATTTTTGACGAATTTGATAAAAGTGCGATTACATAATTTGCGATGCGTATGTTTCTATTTGTGTGTATAGGGTATTCATTTTTAAAAATTTCCAACTTGTTTATTTTGTGACTGACTAATCTTTTCAAAAAATACCAAAAGGTCAATTTTTTTTCAAGGGAGACGTATGAGTGCAATAAATTCAATACGGTGCCACTTTATCCCCTTCGTCGGGGTAACATCCCTTTAAAAATCTGAAATGTTAATACGGGCAAAGTGGCATACCCTGTATATTATATAAGTACACATACGCTCATAAAGACGTAAAAGTACTTGTACACGTGTAAAGCAAATTAATTGAATTGTATTCTCGCACGACTGACCTTTGGTGACATTCATATCTGTTTGAAATGATCCTGCGGTAGCATATACACGATACATGTGTATATTGGTAATTGAGTTATATTTGTCTAATTTCCGCATCGCCGATCTAGTATGCAATTACGGTTTCCCGTATTCCTGATTTCAATTTGCGATCATGATGTTTGTCTCGCCAGCAACGGTTGTAATCGTCTGCATGATTTTTAACGCTTACAGATCTAAAGAAAAAAAAAGATCCTTCTTAATTGCGGTATTATTAAATGTCACGTCGATATCAATGTTTCATGTCAAGATATAAAGAAAAAATTTTCGGATATTTATTTAATTTTAATCCATCTTCGCAATGTATTTAATACTTTCTATTTTAAAATTTTTTCATATAATTTGGCACAACATATCTTAAGGAGTGTTAGACATTTTTTTACTTTTAAATAAAATTAAAATATATTATTGAACTACGTTTCTCTCGATTTTACGCAAAGCAAAAAGATAAAACTTTTATTTTTCTATAAAAATAAAATTTAACATGCGCGATTGTTACTTTTTGCGAAACTCTAGGGAATCTTACATAAATATCTTTTGATATCTTTAATGCGAATTGGAATCACGAAGATCAATCGCGAATATCGCCCGTTGTACGGATCTCGCGTTTTTGATGTTGGATACTAATTTGGGACACTATGGGGATTCAAATAAATTGCCAGCTATAAAATCGCCCCATGCTGTTCGTGTGTCACTTAAAGTCGAGAACTAATTTGTTTCGGCTGATCTATTTCTCGCCGTGCGGCTGTCGGTCAATTTATTTTTAAACAGTTCCCCCAGTAGATGTGTCGTCGGATGCGAGAAAGTTTCGCGAACCGGTGTTTTTCACTCTTTTTGGACTCGGATGGATACTTTCTTTGCTTTTCGGTCTTGGCACGTGTCGACGTTTAGGAACGAGATGGCTGGCCACCTCTTTGATAATGTTGCGTTATAACGGTATTTGCGCGCGTCCGAATAGAAACGGTGCGCAATTCCGTATTTTGCACTGCGACGACTTTTCCTACCGTCTCGCGGCTGAGCGATGATATGCAGGATTATCTTGATCTCCGAAATTTATCTTTGGACTAATGGTATACGTGTCATGCTTGTTTCATGCAAGATACGCCGTGTTAGTTCCTTCCCCCTTATTTTGAGACATTAGTACGATTTGAGAGCAAAAAATATAATATTTCTCTACTGTGCATGAAAGATATATTCAGAAAGTTTTTCTTGTTGCCGCGTATTCTTTCGAGTAACTTAGTCGAAGTTTTACCCTTCAGTTTTTTATTCAGTTTTTCTTGAACTGTGTGTGTGCGACGTCATCGAAAATGGTATCGCGTCCTTTCGGAGGGACACCCTTTTCTGGTGTTCTAAAACATTTTTCATATAATGAAATTGATCGATGATTTATATACTATATATAGGATATAAATCATACATTTATTTAGCGAACTTACATGACTTTTCTGAAAAAAGATAACTTTTGAATCATATTTTTCTCTGTAAGTCATAAAAAGTTTTATAGGTTCTTAATGTATTTTTATTTATTTTTTGCATTTTATCTCTATTTTTAAAACATTAAAATAGTCGTTCTATAAGTTTGTCTTACTCTGCAATGATATTATTCAACTAACAGTAAAGTGTGTTATATTGCAAAACAAAAGTCAATTGTATACGCGGTAACACAATTTCCTTGTAGAACGAAACTCATTTCTCTAAAGAGCGAATAAAACTTACGCCAGAAAGGATTTGTTAACTTAATTGTGCAAATGCTATGCGCGAGACAGTTCTTTGCTAATTAATTCTCTTCTAATATATTTTCACTCTAAGAAATATTCTCGACAAAACTACATTAAAATGGTCGTTCTTAAATTATTTTTCTTCAGAGCAATGGATGAAACTACGAGAAAAGCCAAATACAGTGACAATACATTCGGCTTCTCGAATGAATTCTGAGAGTAATTTATGAGAAGCGCGCGTTAGCACAAAATGCATCCGACCGCAATTTGCGGTTCGCAAGCAGCACATTTTTATCGGTATGTCGCATATTAACTTGCAGCTTTATTATGGCTATTACCACGGCATATCTTTCTGTTTCCCTCCCGCGATTTCTACGTTTCTGGTTGACAATCGCGATTTTTTAGACAAGATATGTCGACATTGAACACAAAGGTGACGATATTTTATCTTTGTATCATGCGACTACTTTTTTTGTTTTCCTCCGTTTTATTTAAAATAGAATTAAAGAAACGCGGTTGTATATCAAATGAAAATGTCAAATGTCAAATGAAATGTAGCTATTAAATTATGCAATTTTATTAGACAAAAAAATTAGAATAATTTCAAGTTTCTTCTCATTTTATTGTTAGTGATTTGTTTTATTATCAAGTAAACTGGGTGCAACCTAATAAATGCTGAAAGTTGAAAAATAGAGCTTTTCAAATAATAATAACCGTGCAGCAGTTAACAACAATACGTAGCATGAAGATTCGCTACGCTGTGAGTGAGCAGGTGAGTGAGTGAGTGAGTGTTTGAGTGTATGAGTGTTTGTGTAAAAGAGAGAAAGAGAGCGAGAAAAAAAGTGTATGTGTACGTATGTGCGTGTGTGTAAACGTCTCTCCTCCTTCCCTTCTTCCCTTCCTCTTCCTCTCTCTCTCTCTCTCTCTCTCTCTTTTACGCACACACTCCGCCATACACACATCGCGTGTAGCAATCAGCTGATTGCAGCGTCCGACGGCCGGCGATCCGGAACAACTTTTGCTAAAGTGATGTTATTTTAATAAACATGTATTCCTGATGTAATTCTAAGACATTTTCTTCTTTACCAAAATTTTATTTAAAGCATAATTTTATGTTATAAGATAAAATAGTTAGCGACTCATGCGGTGGTAATCACACGTCGGACGGTCAGCTGCGCCGGGCGCTCGCGGCGCGCCGCGCCGCGTCGCGCCGTGCCGCTCCTGCCTGCCTTCTGTACTCGACGCGTGATTTGCTAACTATTTTTGCTTATTTAAATTATATTAATAGTATAATATTATAAAACAGATGTGTGTAAAACAGATATTGTCTGAAATAAATTTAAATATTTTATATATAATATATAAATATATTATATCTTATATGTTTTATTATATAATTACGTATATAATTACATATTTACTTGAAAACTGCCTGTTGCATAAAATCGTAGACAAATTAATAATTGACACAATGGAGGAATAGGAAGGCCACGGTTATTATTACGTATAAGTTTTCTTAACTGTCGTTGAACATATCTCATGTATACCCTAGAGTTTTGAAAAATTCGGCTGTCATGTTGATCACCCGATCATTCTGGAACAATATCCAGGAATTCTGTTCTAGGGCCTACGACAGAGCCTGTATACAAATACATAAAAAAAATTAAATTAGTAAATATTAATGTTTATAGCAAAATACGTATATAATAACATATTATATTTACATTAATAAAACATTATATTAACTATATAACATTATGTTAATTATATGATCAATAACTGCTTTTTCTTAAAATTATGGCGTTACAATTATATATTTATGTATACACATACCTGTACATTTAATGAAAAATATCCCTTTCGGTTTCTATAAACTTCCTCAATATTATGGAACCTAATACCAACTAAGCGTACATGTGTACAATCAATTGCTTCTTTGATACCAGGCAAACCAATACCTCTATTACCACGTCCGATATCTTTAAAAAGTCTTTGATTTTCTTGTATGGCTTCGGGTGAAGAAGGCATCTTTATAATTTCGTTTAAAAGTCTTGCTAAAAGTAGAGATACTCGAAAAACTATTCTTGAGACAGTTGGCTGTGAGACGATTATTGTATCTCCAAGTACTTGCTGCAAAAATATATTAAATTATATTAATAGTATAATATTATAAAACAGATGTGTGTGTAAAACAGATATTCTCTGAAATAAATATAAATATTTATCTTATATATAATATATTATATCGTATATGTTTTATTATATAATTACGTATATAATTATATACTTACTTGAAAACTGCCTGTTGCATAAAATCGTAGACAAATTAATAATTGACACAATGGAGGAATAGGAAGGCCACGGTTATTATTACGTATAAGTTCATTTTGTATTTTAGATAGAATTCCATATAGAACAGAATCTTTATTAAATTTAAAACGCCTTTTGAATTCTCGTTCATAATAAAATTCAAACGGATTCATTCAATCTCTTATGTATCTCTTTGGAACTCGTATATAATCTTCATCATCGCTAGAATCAATTTCATCAATTTCTTCTAAATCAATATTTCTTATATTTTCTATTTCCATTTTAAATAAAAATAAAAGTTTCTTGCACTAAAAATTAAAATAACGAATTGTATTACTTCCAAAACTGTTGTGCTTTACTGATAAATCATACAAGATTATCTTAAGTCTACTTTTACCTCGACTTGGATTTTGTCTTGCTAGAGAAATCATTCTGGAACAATATCCAGAAATTCTGTTCTAGGGCCTACGACAGAGCCTGTATACAAATACATAAAAAAAATTAAATTAGTAAATATTAATGTTTATAGCAAAATACGTATATAATAACATATTATATTTACATTAATAAAACATTATATTAACTATATAACATTATGTTAATTATATGATCAATAACTGCTTTTTCTTAAAATTATGGCGTTACAATTATATATTTATGTATACACATACCTGTACATTTAATGAAAAATATCCCTTTCGGTACCTATAAACTTCCTTAATGTTATGGAACCTAGTACCAACTAAGCGTACATGTGTACAATCAATTGCTCCTTCGATACCAGGCAAACCAATATCTCTATTACCACGTCCGATATCTTTAAAAAGTCTTTGATTTTCTTGTATGGCATCGGGTGAAGAAGGCATCTTTATAATTTCGTTTAAAAGTCTTGCTAAAAGTAGAGATACTCGAAAAACTATTCTTGAGACAGTTGGCTGTGAGACGATTATTGTATCTCCAAGTACTTGCTGCAAAAATATATTAAATTATATTAATAGTATAATATTATAAAACAGATGTGTGTGTAAAACAGATATTCTCTGAAATAAATATAAATATTTATCTTATATATAATATATTATATCGTATATGTTTTATTATATAATTACGTATATAATTATATACTTACTTGAAAACTGCCTGTTGCATAAAATCGTAGACAAATTAATAATTGACACAATGGAGGAATAGGAAGGCCACGGTTATTATTATGTATGAGTTCATTTTGTATTTTAGGTAGAATTCCATATAGAACAGAATCTTTATTAAATTTAAAACGCCTTTTGAATTCTCGTTCATAATAAAATTCAAACGGATTCATTCAATCTCTTATGTATCTCTTTGGAACTCGTACATAACCTTCATCATCGCTAGAATCGATTTCATCAATTTCTTCTAAATCAATATTTCTTATATTTTCTATTTCCATTTTAAATAAAAATAAAAGTTTCTCGCACTAAAAATTAAAATAACGAATTGTATCACTTCAAAAACTATTGTACTTTATTGGTAAATCATACAAGATTATGTTAAGTCCATTTTTAACTCGACTTTGATTTTGTCTTGCTGCAGAAATGCTTAAGATCATCTTAAAAAATGATTGTGAATTCGACAGTAGTAAGATAATTTTAAGATCATGCTTTTGTGAAATGAGATATGTTCGTGAATCTTACTGAAACGTCTTAAGATTATCTTCAAATAAGATAGACTTCTATAAGTCATAGCTTGAACTTTCTCTTGAGTTCCGTCTCATTCACTGTCTATGAATCTAGAGGGCATCTTAAGATCGAACTTAAGACGATCTTAAATATAAGAAACGACTATGAATACGGGCCACAAAATTATTTTTGCAGCAGATTTCAAGTTTCTAAAGACAAAAAATAATCATTCCTCGTACATGTGTACAATCAATTGATCTTTCTATACCAGGCAAACCAATATTATCACGTCCGATATCTTTAAAAAGTCTTTGATTTTTTTGTATGACATTGGGTAAAGAAGGCATATTTATAATTTGATTTAAAAGTCTTGCTAAAAGTAGAGATACTTGAAAAACTGTTCCTGAGATAGTTGGCTGTGAGACGATTATTGTATCTTCAAGTACTTGCTGCAAAAATATATTAAATTATATTAATAGTATAATATTATAAAACAGATGTGTGTGTAAAACAGACATTCTCTGAAATAAATATAAATATTTATTTTATATATAATATATTATATCGTATATGTTTTATTATATAATTACGTATATAATTATATACTTACTTGAAAACTGCCTGTTGCATAAAATCGTAGACAAATTAATAATTGACACAATGGAGGAATAGGAAGGCCACGGTTATTATTACGTATAAGTTCATTTTGTATTTTAGATAGATAAGATAGACTTCTATAAGTCATAGCTTGAACTTTCTCTTGAGTTCCGTCTCATTCACTGTCTATGAATCTAGAGGGCATCTTAAGATCGAACTTAAGACGATCTTAAATATAAGAAACGACTATGAATACGGGCCACAAAATTATTTTTGCAGCAGATTTCAAGTTTCTAAAGACAAAAAATAATCATTCCTCACTTGCATCAATACATATTATATGTATAACTGGTTATGTTAAAAATATTTTTAATATGATTTACATTTTTTTGAAGAATATGACTACTCTCTTCTGATTACTGATTACTCTGATTAGTGATTACTGATTACTGATTACTGATTACTGATTACATGTAATATTGCACATTATATCATTGTAATACTGTTCTAATTTACAAAAGTAAAATATTAGATTAATGTTTTTGAGAGGGCATCTCATATATGTGTAAATATTGCTTAATTTGGAATTATAACAAAATTAAAATTATTTTTATTTATGCTGGTTAAAGAGAATCAATAAATTTTCAATATTTTCAATAATTATATTACTTGTACAGATTTGTGCATTATGCAGAATGCAAGTACCTCCAGCACTTCAAACTTATCGCTTGATCTTAAGTATTCATCAACATCCATTCAATTGCATCAACCTAATGAGATCGAATTAGTTCATGGTAAATAAGTATATTCGTAACATTATTCTAAGATATAATCATAAAATGCTTATAAGAGTTATATAACAGTTTTAGAAAATGGATTTAAAAAAAACTTCGAGGATGTTACTGTTCACTGGACAATTTGCCCTGATCTATCACAGGAGCCTTACAATCTTGCCGCGAAAAGTAAGAAATTTGCTAATAATTTCTAGTTTTTCTCTCTAAAAGCGTCAATATTTTTAGATATATGTGGCGAAACAAAATTTGTAGAAATTGGCGATAAATCATATTTAGATAGTGCGCAAACGAGAAAACTATTTTATCTTAAAGATGTTGTAAAACATTTTTCCACGGAGCAATCTTTAATTTTCGGTCAAAGTGTTTCTCAATGTCCAGGTGGTAATCTTGGCCAAGTATGTATCAGTATATTTTAATTTATTGTTACTTTTTTTTAAATATATTTAATTGATTAATTAAATGATCATTCCACTTTTGCTCTTATTTTAAACTATTTATAATTTAGCTTTGCTTTTATTTCTCTTTCTAATGTTGTACAGATGATTACGAACGCGTCATTTTCAAAAGAAGATCCAGAAATCAGCATAAATAAAAGTGGCATAATATCTGCCAAGTCAAGGAAATGCAATTTCAAAAGTGTGTTAAATGATGACTTTGGATTTAATTGCACTAAACATGGAACATTTTTTCTTTGCGAGGGTCTAAATAAACCTGTGTTGAAAGTATATGCTACAAAATATCGTTCAACCGTTCCAGCACCTTCCTTTACAAGTAGGACACGTTATTTTGATATCCAATAATATTATTTTAACATCACATGACGTTATTTTGATATGAATGATAAAATAATATTAATATTTTAAAATAATATCATTTAATGCATTAATTAATAGCATTTGTTATTTGGGTTTAACAGGCTTCATAGATTGCATGAAGAAATCAATTGAGGAAAAATATCAGCCTTTGCAGCAACTAGTCGGTAAAAAACAATATATAGTGCAACATATATTTATATTTACTTAAAAAGCCAACATTCTAAATAGACAAATTGTATGTGTTTGTTTTCATAGTTTTGGGTGGTGTATATATAATGGAAAACGTATCAGCGTGCAAACATAAATTCGATAAAAATGTTTGGGAGCCATGGTACAAGCCGCAAAGATCTCACGACTATAAGTATTGTAAGATGAACAATACTGAAACAATAATAACTACATTTAGTAGCAGCTCAACAGAACGTCAATATTCACCAAGCTGTCCAGTAGTAAGATCATTGTTTAAGTTTTGATACATTTAAAATTGATACAGTTTCATACATGAGCTTTATATTTTCCAGAAATTTACTTGTCAATTCATCCAATGTTTATCGCATCATAATAAAGTGGAATGCCAATTTTTAACGGGTGATGGAGAGAATATAAAATATTTGGCATATTTTTGTCCGGCGGAATATGTGCACTATTTTGATGGATGATTCGCTCAATAGCGTTAAATATTATAGATCGTAATGTATAATGTATCTACAAAAGTGATAATGTCAATGGATTGCACCAGATATAAGGAGAAAACACTACAAATAAAGATAAAATATACATATATACATATATACATGTATATATTGTATATATATTGTATATGTATATCTAAAATAAAAAATCCAAATAGAAAACAAATTTATGATAACTAAACAAAATAACAAATAAAATAAAATAATAGATAAGATAATAACTAAAATAACTATTAAAAATTAAAATGAAAAAAGGAACAAAATAAAATATAATTTTATTTTGTATACAAAAAAAGAAATGAGCTCGTAGAATATACAAATATAATTTTAAATAGTGATGAATCTAATGATATTCATACCTTCTTCCA